ATATTATAGTTTTAAACACGTCATGTTTTTTGTTCCTTAGAAATACTACATTAAAAAAAAAACGAATAAATTAATATTGAAATTATAAACAGTTATATAAAAAACCTTATGAAATAATTTAACATATTATTTTACCAAATTATTTTGTAACAGAAATATCTTTGGCGATGAAAAAATATATTTGTCTTGTCGATATGCATAAGAGAAATTAGTTTTCTTTTCTTTTCCAATAAACACTTTGTGCAAGTAATTTTTATTTTCGAATATATAATAATTAGCTTTATATGTTATGTAATCATAATGATAGTAGAATAAATTAGATGCTGGTTAATTATTATTTGTTACATACTAAAACAAGTAATTAAACACAAATCATGTAATATATATATATAGTATAATTTTACTGTTCAAATACAATACACAATTTATATTATGTTAAATTCTAACATATTTTATAAAAAATGTATTTTCTATGACCATATTAGTTTATGAGTTTTTATGAAGTGTCCCTCGCGATGTTTTTTTTTTTTTAAGCAATGGATTCGTTTGAACCATTTTTCAATTATTTCAGCAGTATTGTATTTGTTTACTATTTATGTGTATTATTTTATCAAATTATTATATTAAAATAATATATTACCAGCATTGTTTTTTTCCTGTAGCTTTAATATTAATTTAATATTACATATTTAATTTATGCAGTAGTATGTAATTATTTAATTGGATTTAAATGTAATAATAATCAAGAAAAAACAATCAAATAAACATTTATATTATATAAATCATACCAAAAAATCGATAATGCTGTACAAGTAACTTGGTTTAGCCATCATCCACAAACACTATGTTACGTCAAATTCAACATTAGAACCTGATATTATTATTTTCAACTGTATTTTTTTTTTCTGTAACTTGAATGAGTGAGCAAATGTGAACACATTTACAAAATACACGTAATAATCACGAAAAAAAATGTTTGTTTGTTTATTGATCCAATTATTTTACCGTTCATTTCTTGTGATCAAAAATTGATACATGAAACATCGGTTATTCGTATTAACATTTCTTTCAAAAAAAATATTAAATTATTATGTGTTTAACTATGTTAAGTATTAATCGTCGCCCGTCACCTACTGTATTTTTTAGTGAAAGCTATTTCAATTTCATGTTACAGAGCACTGTGAGTACATGTGAATTTTTGTATATACGGTAGGTAATGGATCCGGTAAGTACGTTATAAAACTGATTTTTACCATTTTACTGATTCAATTTCATGTTCACACATTAATCCAAATTATTATTTAGTAATTGTTTGGAGTCATGTGAAACATTTTACAATTAAAAAAAAGGGATGCAACGAAAAACTACTTTAATTAAACTAACTTTCATTAAATTGTTATTACCAATATAACGTATGTATAGTAAAAAAGGTATAATAAAATAAACGAAAAACCATAACTAATAATATGATTTTTTTTTTATTGAACATCACTCTGAATAAATATTATGTTTAATTCACTAATTTGTCATTAATATTTTACCTTACATATAATTATGTATTATTATCAATATATTATACACTTGAATTTTATTGTCTTCGTTATAGTAAGCATGGTAAATTTTACTTTTATATAATATTATTTCGGTATAATAGCTATGCAATAGATCATTTGTAAAATGTATAATAAATAATACTTATAAAAATACACTCGTAATAATTAACAGTAATAATAATATTATTGTGCTCTAATTAATGTTAAGTTTTATTTTTTATTTTAATAACGTTTTTATAATCATTTCATAGTAATATTACGTACACACACATTCATTTTCAAGGTTTATCTACTCTTGATATTCAATTATAAACCACTAGTCAAATAAAGGTAATTTTATAAATACAAAATATTTGCTTATACATAATGCTATTACATAATAATAATTATTATAAAATACAATTTGATATTAGCTTATGTATACTTATAGTAACATTATGGTTTGTAATTATTTATAAAGTATAATTTTTATAAGTCAATTTTATTCTATACATTTAAATTTTTAAAATATGGTTTTAATAGAGTGTATATTAAATTGATATAAAATACAAATTCAATATTTCAATATTATTCATTTAATATGGCAAAAATAAAAATGTGTAAGATAAAATTAAACTTAGATTTGTAAAATTTTGAAATTTATTAAACATGATAAAAGCACTGTCTTTTGATAAAATCGTGATACAAATGATTCAACAGCATATCCAATTCAAAACTGAATTTTAATTTTTTTGAAAATCATAATTAACCTAATCAATCCAGTCCAAGTACTTCCACCAGTTGTTTTAAGATCAATGTTTAGTCGGTTTGTATGTCTAATAGTTTTTTTTACTGTAATTCATATAAAACACTGAAATGTCAAATTAATTTATTAGTTATTACACGGTATTAAGATTTGTTGAAGAATAATAAAATATTTATGTTTTATTACTTTATTTCTCAAAATTAGTAATTATACTTAGTGGTTCAATTGAATAGATACTAAGTATGAGTAACTAATTAATAATAATCATTAATCACACATAAATACAAGTACTTCACTCATACCCATAATACTATTAAGTATTCTAAAAGTTATTAAAGTAAATATTAGTAATAGTTTTTACATACTAGTATTTGAAAAAGTTTAGATTTCTAACTCAATCCTAGAATAAATAAGCACAATAAATCAATGATTTCTGAATTTTATTGGTTCATTGTTCAAAAAAACCCTTATCTTTAAGTCATAAAATATAGAATTTAAAATAAATATATTTTTAAATTTTTATTGTATTCAAAATAGTGTTATATTTTTCTTTATTTTAAACTATAGATAACTAGTTCATATTGTTACTTGTGTATTTTAAGATATGTGTCTTATAATAATAGTTTTCATGCATCAATTAAATATTTATGTGTTATAATTAAAACTGTAAATGATGGAATATTATTATTATTTTGTTTTAATTGATTAACAGAATGTTAATAGTCTTTAATTTTTGGTAGAAGTATATTAATATGATAAATAAGTTTATTAAAATGTATGTAATTTATACTAAAAAATAAAATTTTATTAAATTGATCACTCACATAAAACGTTTTGTTTTAAAATGAATAATTAATAATTATTATACATACAAAATTAAAAATATTGTATGTACTTGAGTATATTCTAATAATAAATTAAATATATTAATGAATATAAATAAAATTAAAATTAAACTATAGGTGTAAATTAATATTTTTCTAATAAGAATTATTGTTTATTAAAATATATAGAATAAATATACATGTGTATTGCATAATATAATATAATTATATTATACAGGTAAAATATCATTAGTGAGTATACCTACATTTTAATAATATGTTAGTTACTGAAATTTAACTAAATGTCTGAAAATCATTTTTTATTATCTCTTATATATAATAGTATACTTATATATAGTATAACAAAAAAAAAAAAATAAAAAAATAATATGATTACATTTTTATTATCTTATCATAATTTTTTTCTTATTTTATACCAGTTCAATAGTGTTTATAGTTTTTTATTTAATTAATAATTTTAAAAAATAACAACAATTATTTACTCTGAAACATTATTGAATTCATTTTAGGATTTTCAGTTTGAATATTATGTCTATTAAAAAAAATATTATTATCTAATGATATATAATATAATAGATTTATTATGATAAAATAAATAGGTAGTAAAAAATAATAATAATAATAATGTTATTTACCAGTGATACGTTAAATGTTAAATGCAGTTTTTTTTCAAATTCTCTAATGGTATATTAAATTTATTTTATCTAACATGGAATTATTATTATCGTTTAACCACTAAATCAGTAACATTACGCTCCATCTTAAAATTTATAAATTATATAATACATATACAAAAATAATCTGTCAGTTATAAAAATAATTATGCAAATAACACACTAGTAATTATTAGTCTATTTAAATTACAATCAAACATTATTCTCTTTTAAAATAATAGCTAAACAAGTATATAGTTGATATATATTTTGATCGATCAGCACTGAATATAGTGGTAAGATTTATATGTATTCATTGAAGGGATAAATTATAAAAGGCAGAATAATAGTATTGTGATGCATCGATAAAATTAATTTCACTTTTATTGATTCATAAAAAATACACAAAAAAAAAAAAAATATTACAATAAAATAAATTAAAATATTATCATTACCCGTGATAAAATACAATATGACGAGTATTATAACTATTGACAAAAATTTTTATGATTTTAATCGAGAATAATAAAAAAAAAAAATCTATAATATGCTTGTTAATAATATTTATTATCTCTTGAAGAATAAAATAAAATCTTACTTTGTTTTATGTAAAATCAAAAATAATTACTGAAATGGAAGATTTTTTGGGGTTCGAATTCGGTTGATGACCACTCTTTTACTGTGGGCGGAGCAAAAGTAACGGACGCGGTATAAAATAGTATTATTTTATGCCCATAAAATGTTTTTGATGCAACACACAACATGTACAATTATTAACATAATAACATCGAGCAAGGAGGGGGCTTATTATATCTAATCACAACTGTATAATGATTTAATTTTTTTTTTTTTACTTTACCAAATAAATATATTTTATATTGTTATGAAAAAGGTACTCGCGTATAATATATATAATATATACATAAATGTATAATTATATATTTAATAGGTATATGTATTTGTATTGTATATAATTTCTGACTGAGGAATCTTTTACTCGGTGGTGTCATAGTATTATTATTATTACTATTTTGTAACACAGGACACGCCTGATTATTTGTACGATTCTTGTCTGAACAACATTTGAATCTCTTCCAACGTTTTGTTCTTGGTTTCTGGAACTTTTTTGTAAACGTATAACACGAATAGCGCGAGCAACACGACAAATATGAGGAACACGTTTGAGCCCAACAATCCCTATATTGAACAAAACAAATAGAGGTATAAATTAACAGATGTGTGAATTATAATATTTAGATTCTAAACGGAAGCAATGAGTGTAATAGTTCTACAAACATGGTATTTTTCTTTATTTTATGCCACCTTTAAACCAAAGTGTTTTAATTTTGAATTCTAAAGGTGTTATTGAATCTATAATTGAATCTAGTTGATAAAATTTGTGGCTCTAGAGTAAAAATTTCCCAGAATTTTTTTAAAAATAATTGGAAAACATATTGAATAAAAAATAGAAACATGCATGCTTAATCGCTTTTGGTTTTTTAATGTAATTTAAATTAGTCATATTTTGATCAGAATTTTTCATTAGATGTGAATTTTAGTTTTTACAAGATATGACATAATTTACAAAATATTTTGTCTCTTTTCGTGCTATCTATATATATTAGACATTTTTTATTTTTATTTGTGTAAGATAAAATTTTTGACTATGAGTAAAAAAAAGCTCAAAAATTAAAAAATATATTCCTCATAAGTCATAAGTTTTTCTTATAAAAACCAAAACATATAAAAAATAAATTATTATAATATTTCGACTAAATATAAATTTATATTTAATTTTAAGTTCAAATTTTGACAACATTTGATATTTAAATAAAAAATAAATATTGAAATTGTTTGTTGAAATTAAAAAAAAATACTATTTGTAGTGTAGAGTATTTATTTGTACAATATGCGTAGACTTAAATAGTGAGCTTTTATGTCAAACGCTTCCGATGTTATTTTCTCGATGTAAGATCTTAACCTAGCTGTCATTGCAGTCATACCTAATACAATTTTATATACCAGACAGGTATACCTAGTCTACCCTATTATATAAAATATCGTATATATAATCTATATAGAGGAAGTGCAATCTTTTTACCTGTAGAGGTAGGAAACCCAGGCCAACGACAAAGTTAGCCGTCCAGTTGACTCCAACGGCTATGCTGGTAGCTAGTGGTCGAGCAGACGAGTTAAATAGTTCAGCCACTAAGAACCACGGTATGGATCCTGGGCCAACAGCAAACGCAATGACAAAGGCCATAACGAGTACGATAGCCAAATAAGACACAATAGTATTACCGACCTGAAAAAGCAAAACCAAACGATCTATTAGTATGGGTAATAATATTGTATTAAACGCATTAGTAGCGAGATTTTTAATTTAATAATTATACAAGTAAATTATAAATTTGCGTTTTTCAATATTTTTATAATTACGCTTTAATAAATATGACATGATTGGTTACGTGATATAACAACAATTAAATATTCCTAAAAAAAACTGGTAAAATGTATTTTTATTTAATTTTTTATTTCGACTTTAAGACATTTCAATTTACTTATAAAAATTCAAATTTTACACACGCACACTAATAGCCGTGTTTTGTTTATTAGTATAGAAGGATATAATAATATAATAAATTTTAATATTTTCAAAATGAATTAAAAACATAAAGAATAAGCTAAAGTATAAAACGATCAATTTTATTCTAACGACAACGTCTAGCAGTTGCGTATTTATAAAATCGCATAGTAAATATGAATTTGTATTGAAATTATACTCCTCAAACTCCATTAATTTTACTAGTATAATATGTAAACCACTATAATATAAGCAAATATTTTTTTAATTAAAATTTACAAGTAAAATCATATAAAAAAGGTCGTCTCCATTATAGCAAGCCATTTTTTCAGAAGGATAGAACATTAAGTTATAGTTTTATAGCCGAACCTTAAATGTCATAAATATGCACTTACAACAAACATCAAAGAGATGGTAAGCATAACGGTGATGACAAACATGGACGAGAATCCAATCATTAATAGAGTTTTACGGCCGGTAAGTTCGACCAAAAACAGAGAAATCAGCGTCATTATCACGTTGAGTGTGCCCATGCCGAGCGTGGCGTACTTGGCTCCGTCATCAGACATGCCAGCCATGTTGAAGATTTTTGTAGAGAAGAACATGACCTAAAAAAAATAAAAAATTAATAATAATATTATTATGATTCAACTAAACAGCAGTAGGACATAAGCCTAAGTCACTGAATCATAATATTAACGTATTATACATTCGATTGTTGTAATTAAATAATGAAATAAAAATTCTTTCAATGGCTGATTTATAATTTTATACTTGAAGCGATTGTTTTATGGTAGTAACTAGTTGTTTTGATATAGTTACTACATAAGAATTACTCGTCAAAAATATAAATTAAATACTTTTAGACAAACTTTTCGTAAAAAATATGTACCTACAAAAAACGTTATACACGTGTCTCATCGTAATAAAACTTACATAGAACTTTACAAAATCCAATATATCATATTTTATATGAAAAATACATTTATATCTATGCACAATATATTATATAGTTATTATAAGTCATGAATATATACTTACGGCGTTGATACCGGACAATTGTTGACACAACATGATCATAACAGATATTCCTAGCGGAGTTTTCAACATCGGGTTCGACAACATCTCACGAAGAGTTACGCGTGGAATAACTTTCATCGCTTCGTTTTCGGCTCTCATTTCATCCATCTCATCGTGCACTTCAATCGTTCCTCTGAGCCACTGAAGTCCTATATGAAACGTTATAATGTATTTATGACAACGTCATTTTACAAAAATAATAATAGCTTATGTATGTAAATGCGGATTGCAGTCTCAGCTGTAATCCAAGACTGATTTGAAATCAAATATTAATTACATTTTTATTTGGAATATTGAAGTAGATAAAATAAAATCTTGTGCTTTTTTTGTAAATGTATGTTATTATAAGTCAAAATGTGCATCCACTCGATTTTAAAAAATCTACAAAATCCAAAAACACTCAATAAACGAATAAACTACATGTTCTCTTAGAACAAGAATTCTAAGTAAAACCCAGGTAAATCATATTCGTGGAGTACAAAAATTGTATTGTATCATACATATTTATTATAGTTGAATTCATGTAGCTTTTGAGTTATAAAATATTCTAGTAAAATTATTCAATTATAAAACTTTTTATGTATTCAAAATACATTAAATACATTTACCATAAGTACTTTAAATATCATTTGAAATTAATTGCTTTGAAAATGTATAAGTTATTGATTTTTATAATATTTTTTACTTTAAATTTTATTAATTTTAAACGCTACAATACTGTTTTGTATGTCAACAATTTTTGTTATGATAAAATATCAATATTAAAATTATTATCATGCCACAATTTAAAATCCTTATATTAAATTTAATGTATCGTATTATGTATCAGAAAATGTAATAAAGTTAAGCTTTAAAACATATTTTAGTAAATACTTTCAAAAATAAACTTTTACATTTTTAAGTTAAATTATAGATATGTATGTATATGGGTCTACCTCTCTCGGCTTCGATGTCTTTCTTCTTATTGATCAGCGTGTACTTTGGTGATTCTGGACAGAATGGCAATGTGATGAACATGAATATGCCCGGAATGATAATTAAAGCCAACAATATTGGCCAACGCTCAGCTGTACCCAAAATGTAGTCCAAACCCAATATTTGGGAAATCAATATCGAAATTGTAACAACTAGCTGGTAAACAGTTCCTACCTGCATAAATAAAGCAAAAAATCTTTTAATATCTAACTGTTGAGTTGTATATATATAATGTCTACGTATACACAAAAAATACTGTTCGGAAAAATATTATACTTACGGATCCACGTAAATTAATGGGAGAGATTTCAGCCAGGTACATAGGAGTCAATCCGGCGTTAAGTCCGGAATTAATACCGATAATAAACCGTCCAATGATTATAAGCTCGTACGACGAATACATCTTTGAAACACCTTAACAGAATACAAACAAATTAATTTATACTCGTCAACTATTATATACATAAAATTTATTACTATATAGATACACATAATATAATACTTTAACTATCATATTAAGCGTAAAAATTTATATTTTAATAAATTTTATTCGTTTAAAAAAAATATACATACATATATATATATATATTCGATGAACTTTATACCTTCAACTCAGAAAAAATATCACTGATGGCAAAATTAAGATACGTAACAACTAACAACATTAAATTGTCATGATAAAACGTGTATGGGTTTTGAAATAATTGATTTGATTATAGGTATTATAAGAAAACTAAATAAACAATCTTTCCACAAACTTAGTATAAGTATTTATAATAAATATTAATAAAATGTTACTGAGGTACAATTTTATTTATTTCATACACAATACTGAGTAATAATTGCAGAATAAATGTGTTGAATTCAAATTCATAAAAATTCACATCGCGGTAGAATATATGGAATATAGAAATGTATCAATTTATACTTGATAAAATTTGAATAAAAAAACACTTAAAAACGTCAACCGTTCCCTTACAGATGCAATCGTGTGCTTTGTGTTAAAGGGCACCTCGCCTTAAGTGGCGAAAAATGTTGGCAAACAATCAACACGAATGGTGAAAGTATTTGCACGTGAATTGAGTGTAGAAAAAAAACAAACACACACACGTGCGCGTATTTTTATAGGTACTACTGCACATATTATTGCACAAACAGTAGTTATTTGCAATAATCTGATAATATCTTATGAGCATATTAATGCGTGCGAATTGCAGTAATATACGCTCGACGAGTAAAAGCCGAGTGAATCAAAAAAGATCTGTACATATATTTGACACAGACGCAACGTACAAGACTTGAGGAATTTTACTCTCTTCGCATAGAGAAATAAAAGGAACGTCTTGGTCTATGAAAATATTGTAAAAGTAAATATAATTACCTACTTACTAAAGTCAATAAATTATTTTGTTCGAATAGATAATAATAATATTACTAAAATATTTATTTTTGTATGTATGAACACGTGAGATGGTTTTTTTTATAAACAATAATTTGTTTTCATATTATGCATACAAAATGAAGAAAGACACACACGTATTGCATTTCTCAAAAAGAAAATACAATACACTGATCTCTTCTATTGCGTTGTCAGACGACTTGCGAACATTTTTATCAAATGTGTAAAAGTATAAAACATAATAATAATTACCATAATATGCATAATATAAAACTCATCTAAAAACGAATGCATACAGTGAGTAAATATGATAAAATATTTAAAACGCTCTGAAAAAATGATTCATAATAAAAATAAAAAATATATTGTGAGTAAGTATTTTTAATATTATAATATTATAACGTTCAATCTATTCAAATTTTAAACTAATTTAGTATTGTCTGACTATTCCAAATAACAAACCAATAAATATACACTATACGGTATACACTATTATTTATTAAATATTTAAAAAAATATACTAGGGTAAGGCGAATAAGAATAAGTTGGAAACCTCGCTGATATAGACGTACCTATATACTCGTATCTTAAATCATGGATTATTATAATTAGGAAACGTGTGAATTCTATGATTTCTGACTCAAATAATAATCGACAAGACATTACAACAATATGTACTGCGATATTTTCAAGAGAAAAAAAACGATAAGATATTTAGACAGTTTAAAGTAAGGTCATGATTTTATTAGTTGTAGCATATTATAAACAATTATATATTATTATTAAGTGTAAAAAATACGTTGTATTTATTTAATTTAATAAAAATACAAAATCAAATTTGTAAAAATATAACAGAAGTATAGAATGTTCTTGTACGTGGTTTACAATATGGTACGTGGTATACAAAAACATTTTTTGTTTTCAAAAACATAACAAATAATAAGGACAGTAATATGTGCATATCTAAAAAATCGTCTTGTAGATATTGTTATATTATATTATCTACAGTTGTGACAGCACGTTTTTTCTTGTAACCATATTTGTTAAACGAAAAAAATAATAAAATTCTATTGTATGATAATGGTACATGAATGTAATGATATATAAAATGACATTTTGAATAATAAAAATACGGTTAATGCATATAATCAATTTCTTAAACTCTATCACGCATATTATGGAGTAATAAGAAAAAGTATTTCATTTAGTGGCAGGAGGAAATCCCTCAGCAAACGAACCCAATTAACTTCAATTGGACGATAAATAAACGCCGACTTGCTATAGATTAAATATAATATATTACGTTGTACACTATAGACTACATAATCATAATAATACTATACGTGTACGTTCGTTTGACGAGCAGTTGTTACTTGTTATGTAAATGACCTTAAGTTACGAATGTCGAATTTTCTTTTTTAATCTAACTTTCATAGTTTTAAGTGTCACGGTGAATATAAAGATTTACATTGAAATATACGGCAAACGAACGCGATTAGATTTAAATCTATCAATTGGTTGCTTTTTCGATGACTGTTAAAATTCCAAAGTGTTAACGTAATTAAATATAACATTATAGTTTATGATTGTAGAGATGCAATTATACAAAACAGGCAATTGTCTCTTCCCGTAAATCTGATTCAAATAAACCTAGTGGCTCAACGCAACCGTTTTATTCGTTAAGCACATTTAAGTTTATCATTATTATTATTTTGTCTTTTTTTTTTTTGGATCAATACGACGGGCTATAATAAAATTATGTATAAGTATCCAATATTAAATTCAAGTGGTTGTAACACTATTAAAAGACAGCTGAGTTAATATTAAGGTTAAAAGTTAATGTACTTATAATTTATAGTTACTATTTAATATTAATATTTTTTTTTTTTTTAATAAGCCCAGTTCAGTTAGTATAACACAAATACGCTTACACCAAAGTGATATTGTTTAATATACGATTACTAGAAGTAAAACTTACACGTACAATTTTCATTGAAAATGACAATATAAAAACTATTTGAAATTCAATCGAAAACATCAAACTTTGTAGGATATGTAACAAGTATTCACAAATATTTAAATTTGAGAAAAAATACTTTTTTAAACGCATACAAAATTTTTAATTAAACTTTATTTATTGAAGTTTATCCCGAAAATATTTTTAAAATTTAATGTGTAAAAGATTATTTCAAAATTAATATTAGAGTTAATGGAGCTTTTCAATGAAAAGCGAAAAAATAATTTTTTAGTTTTTAGACTTTATTTCTAATACATATAATAGTTCAATGTAAAAAGCACAAAGTATTATTTTTAAACATTTAAAATAAAAATTCTTTTGTAACTATCTATAATTAAAACCATTGGTGATAAACTATATGAAATTTTATGATAATATGTATTCATGGTGGATACAACACGTGCCTACAACAACGTGCGTATACCTAAAACACCAGTCGACCCCGACTTTGGTACGGGTGACACAGGATTTAGCGGGATACGACAAAAATAAATTATAAATCGTAGAGAAATTAGAAATTGTATTTGAATAAATTACCATCTAATTAAAACGGTGAACTAGTGTTGATGTTTTATTCATTAGTTAAGAAAGATGTAGTTTTACTGCGTTTTATAGATGAGCATAGGCATCAGCATCACTGCGTATAATTCATGTTTAATTACCAAATGACAAATGTATACAATTTATATGTATGTGAGTGTGCGTGTGTTTATCACTTTGACGTTGGTTTTAAACAGAAAGTATTTATTAACTTTCATAAATTTTAAACGAAAAAAAAAAGTTACTATTTTATTTAATTGTTTTTAATAGAAGTAAAATATTTTGAACTCCATCAAAAATGTCCAAATAATATAATAGTTATATTACCAATATAATGAGGTTTACTTGATAAGTGTTAAACGTGTACGAATATGGGAAATATTAAAAAAATAGAAAATCATCTACACTAATATTATTACACTACAGCAACTATCGTTGTGTATTTAGCTTACCTTGAAGTGCAGCTGAAATGACGACCAGTAAATTGGATACAAGTAAACCGCCCTTACGACCAAACTTATCGGCCACGATTCCGGTACACAAGCCCCCAATCATACCACCGAAACAGAATATGGCCACCGCAACGGCCCATATCAATGTCACTTGCGATTTGTCTGCTGCCTTACCATCGTTTCTGTCCGAAAGCACACTGCCAATCCATGTTTCGATCAGCTGTAACGATATGAAAAATCACACAGTGTAAAGTCAAATATATAATTCTACAATAGTGCTTTACGATATAAAATATATAAATGTATGTAGTACATTTTAAAGTGGTGATGAATTTCAATGATAAAAAATAAGTGATATTTGTTATTACAATCATATAATTTTCGCTCAGAAAATAATAGTCGATGTTTAAAGGAATAGCGTGTTTATTATTGATTCGAATAAAAGAGTAAGTTACATTTTTAACCCCGGAGATCTGTCACTTTTCCCTTTCTCATCATTTTTTGATAATTATTAAGCCAATATTGTTTGAAAACATTATTGACATGAAACACGTCAATTAACGAGCTGTGGGATTTTCAGAAGATTATTGTATAAGCTTCCGTGTCAGAACTTCAAATTCTTCATTATTATCACGGCGTTTTTATTGATAAAATGAATTTCTTTTTTTATTTTAAAACATTCTCAGTGACGTAATGACATATATATTAGCCAAACCGTAGTGGTTTTTTTGTTTTAAATCGTAAAGCTGTACAATATATTTGGAGATAATTAAAAATAAACGTTTTGGAATAATTATTGTCTATAAATACATAAATATAATATTTGACAAACCTGTTAAATATACAAATTTTTAATTTTTGCGAAACATCTATAGCACGAACCATACGAAAAAACGAGAACAGTTCATTAAAAAAATATACTTAAATAGTTAACCGTTAAGTATTATTATACCTATACGGCTATACACAGTCGTTGAAAAAATATCAAATTACCGTGTTTTCTACTTCTCGTTTCCTTTTTGGAATATATTTAGTAATACGTCGCGTGCATACTACTACGACTATACTAATGGGTGCGCATAACGCATTAGAATTTAGAGAGAAAAAAATATATTTTGTAATTCAACACAAACACGGGAATGCATTCCCAAATACATGGTTTCGAAAAAAAAATAAATTTAATAAACCTAATGCTCTCCGCTTCGTTGAAAATTAAAACGAGATTTATATCAGTAGGAATCATGTTGTCTGACGGCAGTGCTCTGTTACAGTCGTTGGATGCCGACACAAAGTAATAGGAGGTGCTCACAAAAATGGTTCCCCGGGATTTATTTTATATATTTTATTATCCACATAGGTATATAATATTATACGAGTATCACAAACGCGTTTTATAACCATCCACGGACAGATGTTCCTATATAATATCATATATGCATTCCTGTATTTGGTCTGTGAATGTGTGTGTAGTGTAGGCTGTTAATGTTTGTTTGGGGATTTATTTTGAATATATTTAGTAGAGAAGATACAACACAATTAATTTACCGTACAGTATACAAATGAAAAAAAAATAATATTTATAATATATAAGTCTTTCAAAATCGATAATTGAAGGTGAGCCTCGTGCTTATAAATATATATATAGGTATGTGCGCTTATACTTGTAACTGAAGCGCGCGCCCAACGAAAGGTTCGAACACGTGTGTCCGTAATCATCCGTACCAGCCACCACCTTTTAAAATTTTAATGTTATAAGACTTCGTATACGAGTCAAGTTATTATACACTTAATACTCCGGCGATTTTCGAGTTTTTGATAAATGCATATCATGGTGTCATTCGTGGTTTCGTACCACCTATGGTCCACGTATACCTAATGTTAACAAATAGCGTTCTTTTAAATACTATACAATGATCTGATCCGTACATGGAATTCCATAGTAATTTGTGCTAAGAAGATGTTTATCATCAGCTTTACAAGTTTGAACTATTGCCACAATTAATAATAATAAACATTTACAATTTAAGTGAGTCGCAATTCGTGGGAAATCCAGCGCTACTCCGCTTATCTATCTAAACATATATGTCTGTACGGATAACAAGATTGTGTCGGTTCAACGTTCGACATCTATTTGCGTACGTTATATTCCGTTCAGTTATTATACATATTCTGTGTATTCATATTGCATGCGTCACTGTAATACGATACTAACAATCAACATTATATTATAATATAATTATCTGAATTCGGAATAAAAAAATAAAAAAAATAATGAAATGTACCGATGACCAACAGTGCTCTGCTTTGAAAAAAAAAACCATCCCCTCATATGTCTACACTTGGCCGTAACGATATTTTATAATTTTGTATAAAATACTAATGTATTATCGAAAGAATGCATATACATAAAACGTGTCTCAGGTCCAAATCTTATGATCGTGTACGATGCTTAGGTATTTTTTATAAAAAAATATTTTCATTTTCCGACTTATCGAACGGATTATATAGGTACGTTTAAAAAAAAAATCATAGCGTAGCGGTCTTACGCAATCATTTAGCTTTAATAATATATTATATTACTTGTCATAAAATCTCATATGTGAGTGTGTATGTGTGTGTGTGTGTGTGAGTGTAGGTATGGGCAAGGTGCTTAGCGCTTGCATGGTTCACCAAGCCGATATAGTACCCATGTTGGAATGTTGACGGCACCATTAGCCGGCCTACCCGCCAAACCGGAATCAGGTAACAAAAAAAACTACACGAAAAACCAATTGTGTCTGTGAAAAAGATCAACCCCTTGAAACATACTACATGGGTAATAGGTAGTACACAAGTAGAGAACTACATGATTTACGATAATAATAATATTTTAATCGTAAATCCGTGCAGGTATAATAGACTGTACAATTAGGACCAGACATCCAGACCCTGTTTTGTTTTTTTTTACGAGGCTGTTTGGAATTTTTATTCCTGCCCCTTACCACATTTTTCTCAAGGTAAAATATAAAAAATATCATCATCGAAGAACGTTATTATATGCAGCAACCTCTAATATATAAATAAAATATCAAACTCTGGATGATATACGTATGTGCATACGGCCAAATGGTATTCGAAAGTCGCCCAACTTCGAATATTAAGATGGGGTCATAGCCTTGTGGTCCCGAGGGTTCGACTTTAATAATGTGAAATGGCTAGTATGTTCGGAGACTTCAGCTTATCGCGTAGCATACACATATCTGTCCAAGGGAGACTATGAGATTGCCACTTGTTAAAACTGATAGTTACCAAGTTTGCCATGCGCACGGTTATATAACATGTAGTAGATAGATATAAGTTATAAGTCTACACGTACATACAAGATCTATCTAAATGCCTAAATGGTTAGTTAGTACTGTTAGTAAGTAACATTTATAACATTTTAAATACTTACGGTTTGGGGAGCGTTCACCACACCAGTGTTGTAGCCATGTTGGAATGCCGAACCAAAAGCCGATGCTATGATGGCGAACAATAGTCTTCCGTTAAGGCTCTGCAACAAAGAAGAAAAATCGGTTGGTCGTTGTTCAGATTGAACTGGAAATATGGATACGGTTTCCGTTCGTTCGTCGGAAATAGAATAACAACCCTCGCGGCTCGCCTTTTCGCCGTCACACGTGACGGGCGAAAAAGTACGTATTGTAACGCAACAACAAAGACCCGCGGTCGCCGTTTCTCGGAGTTTGCGCATTTTTTTCTCGAATTATGTTCACGAAAATTTTAACAATTATAATAATTATAATAAAAATAATTGAAAATAATCGATATTTTATTATTATAATTCTTTATTATGTTTTATGAACTGTCTTTTCATTTGACAATCGCGCGACAATATCGTTCATAAATGTTGTACACCGTAAATTGATTATACGCATAGATAATATTATTTTCTATCGACGACCACCCGACCAACACTAAAATCTGAAATCTATAATGGACTGAAATTGGCGACTGTGGTATGCGATTATTATATTTGCTATTAATATTTAGGTATATAAACAGGTATTATTGCTCTCAATCTCAGTCGATCCTTATCGCAAATAATATAATAATTATTACGACCGTTAATGATCATAATCTATCTGATTGGACAAACCTCCATAAAACACATAATACTAATATAAACTTAATTTGACAATTATTTATATGTAGTATGTACCTATACTATAAAATATTTATTAAATTGTCATTATCTAATTTTTTCAATTCATCGGTCACAATAACGATTCTAAACACTACGAAAAAAGATTAAATATATTTAAAATGTGTTTCTTTGGGTGTATCTTCGGAAGTAAATATTGTAATCATAGACATGTGACCTATTAAATATTAATTTTTTCATTATTATTTTTTTTTTGTCCAGTTATATAATTATTGTGTGTATTGTCTGTGTATATTGATAATTTTATCACAAACGTGAAAATATATAGGTACATAGACTGTTTAATGATTATGCGTTCTAAGTTTTCTCATATTTTATTATACACGTTTTAAAATTAATAAGATAAATATTAAATACAATATATATATGTAATTATATTACATACGAGTATATATATAAATTATGTATACGATATAAATTATATTGTTATACTTTTCGCTACTTTCTCTTTTAATTATTTTGTATTATATCTGTCGATAAAAAATACTTACGTACTACTATAATACTTAAACTATTTATATTCCAATAGGTAAATGAAGTAGTGTAATTTATAAAGAATAAAATATGCCTAATATTTTGTTCAAGAAAAACTGGGACTATAAATCGTATTGCAATGACGTTGATTATTACTAAATATCGAAATATACATATTATTTCCATTTCAAATAAGTTGCGACATATTATTTTTAACATTAAAATATATTATGTATATATATTGTATTTAGTCCTGCTTAGTCGCATATACAGAGGATATTAAACCCGGTTTTGACTTGGTAATTTCATATACATATTAAATTGAGTTAAAATTAAATTTGTTAAATAATAAATCGACTAGAACTGAAATATAAAATAAAATAATACGATTTTTAAATCTACGTAAAATAAAAATATTTTTATTAACAATTAAAATAGAATTGCTTCAATAAAATAAAAATGAACAAAAAAATATTCATAAATCAAAAACTTGAGTACAAATTTATTAACAAAGAAAAGTTAATTATTTTATCACACATATAAATCATTATTAAACGTTTATTCAACTAAAATGTTAATTTTATCTTACATATGAAAGCGGATAAATTAATATAAATATAGTATCATTAAAAATGCACATGGCATAAACAATATACATTATAATCGTTTTAGAATTATTGTCATCTGAAATTTGTTGTTCTTTAATCAAATTCGAAATATTTATTTGTTAAACCTACTTTACATGAAAATCAAAACGAACAACAAATTTGTTTTTATGATTTAATGGTATTATGTCATTGAACTAAAAATAATATAATTTAGTTACGGAAGATGTGAAGTTTATATTAAATATGAAAAAAAAAAATAAATAAAAATTATCATCACAATATTTTCAAATTCTTTTGGATGTTTGTACATTAATGATTAATAATATAATTTTTGTAATATGAATTATTATTCATTAGGTAGGTACTTTAAGTATAAGTTTTTAATGTAAATTAACTATAATCATTTTTGTGGTATATTCGTTTATATAAAAAATATACACAACTATTAAAATTTAAGATAATTTTTTTTTTTTTAGTTAACAAATTTTCTATATCTCATAATTGCATTTACACCAAAGTGTCAAACCACATGAAGTCAAATAATGTATTTCTATTGGTAAAATGCAAATAATAACCGGTTACCAATACATACACAGAGACAGGTTTGTTGGATGAAGTTTATTTGGCTTTATGATGGTTCCTATGAGGCATCGTGAGTGCATTTTTATAGTTCCATCTCGTTTTGAATCCACTCATTATATTATATTATATTTCCCTGTTCATACGTCGTGACGAGGATTGCCGTACAGTAAACAAATATAAAATATTTCTCCACCCCACCCCAAAACAAAAAATATATATATTTAAATGTCATACTCAAACCTGAAAGGCAAATAATATTACACACTTGCTAAGTCTCATTGAAATATTTGAAAAATAAAATTATCGAACTAAATATACTTTTCAATCTAATATACGCAATTAAAATAATGCATTAATCATCGAGTATTGCAGATGCAGCTTACGCACAAAAATTTAATGTTACATAGATCTCTATTAACTAATTGGTTGTTTTTAAAAGTTTAGAAAAGATTCAACTAATAAGTAATGAACTAATAGTATATAACTATTATTACTTCATTATATTTAAATGTTGATAAACTTTGATATCCTATTTGTTTTATAAATTCATTTATTTGATGTTTTTTAATTACCTAGTTACTTATCATCTTAGACAATTAGACAATTAATATATAATAATTACAAGATTAAGTAATTTATGATATTTATTCATGTAGAATACATTTTTAATTAATTAATCAGTTTATTGTTATTTAAACAAATTCAATTTTTTTCTGAACATTTTAGCTAAATATCAACATAAAATACTTACACTAATATGTAAAATTTGTATATTAGATAATGCATATTATATTCAATGTATTGTAACTTTAAGATAAGATTTAATTATATTATTAAAAGTTAGAATTCTTACATTTTCGCTAGTGAAAAATACAGTTTGTTATTATCGAGTTTGCTGGAAATCGGCGAATAAATATGATATACATTTTATGTTATTTAACCAACACTTGTAAAAGCGTAAAGCATTTAGATACAAGTACCATATTATAAGCTATAATATAAGTGATATACGCTTTTTTCTGCTATATTATAAGAATTAACCAATTAAATTTAGGTTCACGCCAATACTTGAATTCTAATTTAATTTAATATAGGTATTTAAAAATATATAACTAATAAGAATCAATCGTAAGGTTAATGCCAAGGTGCTTTATGATTGTGTAATGTGTATAATGATATAAATTACTTCATACACAATCTCTGACAATGCTTATCGGAATAGTCCTATTATTATTATAAATATAATATATAATAAATATATACTTAATTAAGGAGTGGTTTTAATTAATAGCATTCAATACCAAGTTTAATATTTATACAAATTAATTCTGTTTTCTTTAATAACTATGTTCATTTTGCATAAGTGTCCATTTGTTGATTTTTTTTTTAGAGGAAAACACGAGGTAAAAATATTTTTTAAAAAAGCACATTTATATTGTAAATTAAATAACACAAAATAGGGTTACACTTGAATAGTTTCATGTATATAAATTTATAATAGGTCTTACGATGTGTCTGTAGTAAGTAAATGAAATGCATATGTCCTATATTATATGAACGACCATTAAACTATATATATATAAATGTGGAAATGAAAATCATTATCACGCATGTTCTCTAAAACTACACATCCGATCATTTTGATCATCACGAAGCAAGTTTAAAGCCTATTTCTGATTCTATAAGTTCCTGTAATGTTGAGTTATATTTAGTTCTTTTTTAAGTCAATAAATATGCTCATGAAAATATTTATTTTTTCATCTGTGTTACTGACTATAAGCTACTATTGGAAATTAGTATTTTAGTAAATAGTTGATGCACTATAATAAAACACAACTTTTTCGTTGTTTTTTTGTGCACACTATTGAAACTTTATAAGTTGTTGGTTAGGGAATCAAATTTGAATCTTTCTAAAAAAAAAAAATATTTAAAAAAAATGTTGCTGTTAAATAGTTTAAAAAAAAGCTACGCTGGGTGGGATAACTATATAAAGTTAATATGTTTGAAATATCATTTATACACCAAATCAGAAAACCAAAAACATTATTTACGCTAAATGTTAGAATTAGACAACCAAATTTAACACGGATGCATTTTGTACTGATAACGTAATGCACAGGGATAGCTATAGTTATTAATTATTATATATGTGCGAACCGATTTATTTTATATTTAAATGTATAATGGTGCTGTTTTTGGTTGTTGTTTGTTTGTTGACCACAATTCACAAGTATCATATATTTTTTTCTATACATCGTAAACATTTTTAAACGTGATTTGCTTATTACTATAATATTATTGCATGGTGCGTTATTTTTATTAATTGAGTACCTTTATTGGTCAATGATATATTTATCGGTGTTGATTTTACATTAAATAAACGTTTTTTTTTCTTTTTTTAGCTATAACAACATTAAACGAGTTAATTCATTCATCACCATTAGATATACAATACAAATAATATCATATAGTACGAATTGGAGTAAAAAATATAATAATAGACTTACTAAATATTTGTTTAAATTTGAAATTGTATGGACGTTATTTTGTCAAGTTATCTATAGAATATATGGAATACATAATACATATATTACCTATAACTACAAACAAATTTACCCATCATAATTTGCGGTTTTTCCTCGTTAAATAGGAAAACAATAAATTAGACAACGAGAAAACACGGTGAGCTATCCCATACGTATGTAAGTATACACATTAGCATAATATATACGTATCATTTACGGTTAAAAAAAAAATAAATAAACTATCACACTACGTCTAAGTATAATTTAATAATATTATATTTTATTTGACATGCTGTAATAAATGAGTTGAGAGACTGACATAATAAGTTTGTTTTTGGTGCACATGTCTAACGAA